TTGAAGTTCAAGAATTCTGACAGCACAACAAAAATTTTGAACAGGTGATCTTTTTTTACAGTCATCACAGATTCGATTTAATCCTGGAATCCATAAGTCTCTCTTTTCAAGAATTTTTTTAATTCCTTTTGGTGTTCCATCAGGTAAATGCATTAATTGTTTTGATCCATCAGATTTTATTCCATCTCTAAATTTTTGTTTTCCACCTGGTTAATATTCATTCTTCTTGCAATCAAAGCATTTTTAGCATAAAGAGAATGACTGGTGGCATTATCAAATGCAAACACTCCAATTGAATCTTGGTGAAGTTTTTCAAATATTGGTATTGCTTTTTCAAGAATCTGAAATTTAATTATTTGGTTATTAAATTTTCTAAACTGATATTAATTAACTTTAATATTTTTACCAGGTTGACTAAAAGTTCAGAAGTCCACCAGCCATCACAATTAACTCCAGGTTTCATAATGACACAAGCTTCTTCATTTTCAAATCTTAATCTTCCATCAATCTCAGTTAGAAAATCACTAACATGAATGCTTAAACCAGTACCTTTTTTCCTCAATGGCATATATCCTTTAGGCCCCCCAAAAAAAAATTTTCCATCATTAGAATAAAATATTGACTCATCATGATTAACAAGAATGTGCCTTCTTTCACCAGGATTCAAGGATGATTCAATAATCATCATTATATCATTTTCATCTGGCTTAGGCATCAATCTTTCAAACACTTCCATTTGGGTAAGGAATATTTCTCTGTATTTAACAACATCATCCCTCTCATGACCATCATGATAAATATCTTTATGATGTTTTTGATAAGTCCACCCAAGTTCTTTTAACCATACCCTTGCAGTTTTCTCACTAAAAACTTCACTTTCAACAAATTCTTTAAAGTTCTTAACTTTAATATCACTCACTTGTTTCACCAGGTATTCTTGTAATTTTTTATTTATGTCCTCATTCCATAGGAGTGATTTTATCTTTGGATATTTACCTTGATTAGAGGCTGGAATTGTGCCAAATTTTAAAAACTGTTTTGACCAATTACAAATTAGTCAAGCACAATACTCTCCACCTCCAATGCTTTTGGAAAGTAATAAACTTGCTTCCATTTTTTTACTTCCCATCAAACAAAGGTTAAAATATTGGCTAATAATTGAGCCTCTTTTTTTTTGGATATCAGACAAGTTTTATCTTTAAGGAGTGAATTTAAACATATTAAAGCTTCTTTGTAATTCACAAATATCTTCTCATCAAAATTATTATTGGATTCATACAAATTGATTGTGTTATCTATTATATAATTGCTTTCATTATCTTCTTCACTTATAATCAACTGATTGCTTTCCACTTTTTCAAAAAAACTTGTTAGTTTCATTGTATTTGTAGCTGCCATTTGATTTTGTGCTTTCTGAATTTCCCACATACACCAAAGGACAATTAGGCTTAGAAAGAACTTTATTACTAGCATTTTTTATCATCTTCTCAAAGATAGAAATATCCAATTCCTTAATTGTGTTATTTAAAGTTTTGCTTTGCCAATTATCATCACCAGAATCACTATCAGAAAGTTGGAAATCAGAAAGTTCATATTCATTTACATTTTCAAACTCATTATGATCTGATTCATAAATAGTTTTATCATCATCAGTTTCTGACACAAAATCAAAAGGTTGTTCATGCAAGAGAGTGTTTTGAACAAATAAATTATTAGGTTTATTTTCATTTTTTAATTTTTTTGAAAGTCTAGCTGTTTTAATCTGGGAATTTCTTTTTTTTGGTGGCATATTTAATCAATACTTAAAGACAATATATGTAAATTTATTGGAATGAATATTTGAGTAAATAAAAAATATTGACGCGTTAATGTTACTGTTACACGATTTTTTAACTCTGACCAGAATTTAAAAAAAGGATCAGCAGATGTCATAATTTCCGCCCAAATTTAAGCGGCCAAATTCCTCGTGAACATAGTAAAATACATGTACAAAAAGGAATAGAACTCAACAACCCACCAATATTTTGAAAAAAACTCTCTGTCACATTAAAGCTTGGGTCCTAATCTATGTCATAACAGAGCTATTTTTTTAAAAATAATATACAGAAATGAACTTCTATTCTTTTAAAAATCACATGCAAAATTGGTGGTTTAAGAGGTCCCGCACCATATAAAGAAAATAATTTTTGAAGTTTTTTCATTTTTTATTTTATTTTATATTATTATTATTGTTATTATTTTTTATTTTTGAGACAATAAAAATAAAAATTGAAAAAAAATAAAAAATAAAAAATAAATTGGATCCCTCCCTGCCTGGCTGGTTCTTCAAAAATAATTATGAAAAATTTGAAATAAATAAAAAAATTTATTTACTTCTCTATATTAATATATAAAAAATATCATATAAAGTATACATATAATAATATATATATAATATTATTAATACTAAACTTAAAAATTTTTGTTTTATTGATCTTTTATTTATCTATTAGATAAATAAAATAAAAAGATCAAAATCATATTTGAATTTTTTTTGTGATTTTTTTTTTTGATTTTTTGAATTTTTTTTTTGAATTTTTTGATATTTTTTCAAATAATAACAATTTTCCCTAAAAAAAATATAAAAAATAATTAAAGTGATCAAAAGGAAATTTTTTTTTTAGGGAAAAAAATTATAAAATTTGAAAAAATATATTATGTCGTGATATTCTTTTAAAAAATATTTATTTATTTTATTTATTTTTTTTTTTCCTAAAATAAATTAATTGATTAAACATACTGACAAAGAAAAAAAAGAAAAAAAAAGAATAAAGTAAAAAGATAAACCTGGAAGGCCAGGAAGGGAGTTATATATTATACATTCGCTATTATTAGTATTTCCTTTGAACTTTCCCTAAAAATTATCTTTTTTTTTTTAATTAAAAGAAAAATATAATAACAATAATAATAACATATATTTTTGAAAAAAAAATGAGATTAAGGATTGTGAATGATTACGAAATATTATGGAAGATTGTAAATGTAAGGAAAGGATTTTTTTGAAATGAAAAAAATAAAAAAATGTACAAAAAAAAAAAAAATGTATTCATCATGTAAACATGATGTTAATAAAAAAATAGTAAAGAAAGAAAGAAAGAAAGAATGTATAAAGTGAGAAACTTTTATTTTTATTTTATTATTCAAAAATTTTCTAATTTCTTTATTTCAATAAAATTATTTTGAACAGAAAAATCAAAATAAAATAAATAAGAAGAAACCAGTTCAAATTATTTTTTTTCTTTTTTTCCTTCAAAATAAAGAATAAAAATAAAGTTTAAAAAATTTCAAAAATAAAAAATAAAAATTATCATAAAATTTTTGTTTGGGCCCTCCATTCTAATTTATATTATTGAAAAGAAAATAATAATGTTAAAATTAATATAAAAAAGGAACCGGTCACGCATTAACTATCATAGTAAAAAATTTTTTTTTTTAAAACCCAAGAATAATATATAAAGAAAAATAAAAAAATTGTAACGTGTAAATATAAATATATATATATATATAAAAATATAAATGTATCCTTTTTTTCCACCCAATGATTTAAGAAAGAAGAAAATTTTGGTTTTTTTTTTGGGATCCTTATTTTAAATTAAAATCTCATTGCCAGCATTGTTCGTCAAGTATGAATTTGGATGTATGCTGAATATAGGATATGGTGAGTTGTCGGCAGTGGTGTATACGGCAAGACCATCAGGAACACAGGAAGGAATATTTGGACTGTCATAAGTGTAGCACTCATTTATGACACTTTTTTCGTATTCGACATCTGAAGCATTTGATGAATCGTCTAATGGTGGTGGGGAATTGCTTGAGCTACGTTCATGGGTTTTACGATGTTGAGCCAAATTATCTGATCTGGAAAATCTTTTACCACATACTGAACATGAATAAGGACGCTCCATTGTATGAGTACGTACGTGTCTTTTTAAGTGTTCGAGACGTTTGAACAGACGCCCGCATGATTGAAGTGGACATGGATAGGTTTTCATTGGATATGGACAATTTGCATTATTTGATCTATGTTGTTGTTGTGATAAATTGTCATCGCTGTTATTGCAATGTTCGTTATTCATATTTGTGCATGAGTTTGCACGTCTTCTTCTTTGTTTGTAGGTAGGAGAGCCTTCAAAGATTGAAAACATTCCAAAAAGATTTGCAGCTGTGGCAACCGTAACATTTGGATTGTTGTTGAACGGTGATGGAGTTGCGACGGTGGACGATGGGACGATAGCTTGGAGTATGCTTGCATCCAAATGGTCTGGTGATGAGTGACGACTATCATCGATATATTGATCATCGATTGATGATGTGCTCCATGGTGAGTTGAAGCATTCTGGTGATGCGCTTGCTGTGGTGCTTGCTTCAAATGCACTTTCTATTGTGTGGTATTCAAGCTCTGGAGTTGGATACATTTGAGGTTTTTGAATTTCGCAGGTTTGAACTGATTGGAAAAGCGAGAAGCAACCTTTTGTGAATTGATCGTATAACGATTGTGTTGAGTCAAATGAAAATGATAATGCAGGTTCAGCGATAGCCACGGTTGTTTGTTCAGCGTTCAATTTTTCACGTTTCAAGTCTCTTTCCAAGGCATCCAAGAACAAACGATCATGTGGAACTGAATACCAATAGAAGACCTTTTGTTTCTTTTGGGTGCGAATGCAGTTATTTTTGTATAACATTTCGAGGAACTCTGATTTTGGTTCTTCAAGTGAAGCGTCAGTTCCTGGTTTTAAATTTCTCAAGTCGCTAAAAACACCTTCTTCAAATTTTTTAATATTCCTTACTGGTCTACCAAATGCTTGAAAACGGAATACCAAACTTCGTACTATGTCAGTACCAGTTATGTGATAAAGGCTGTTCCATAATACACATGAAATACATTCACCAGTTGGTAATTGGAATTTTTGAATGTTCTGGTCAGGATCCCAGTTTGCAGGTGCTGTGGCTAACCAATATTTAAGTTCATCAACCTGCTCCATAGGAGTTGGATGTTTTAATGAATTGTTGTTATTATCTGATGGATTCATTTTTAATATTTCTTATGTAGTTGTATAATTTATATATATATATTAATATGTATATAATTTATATATGAATGTATATATGTAAATATGAGTGTGTGTGTATGTATATGATGTGTATGTGTGTGTGTGTTGAATTAAAATGTTGTAATGTGAAAATGTAATAGTTTGTTAAAAAAAAAACCAGTTTTTTTTTTTTCTCTTTCTTGATGTTTTTTTGTAAGGTAGCGCAGCTCCTTGTAAAATAGATAGTATATATTATGATCTGAAGAAAGGATATAGCGTTGTATATATATTTTTTCCGCAAGCGGTAAAAAAAAAAGATTCTATATATATTTATAAAAAAATGTTAAAAAGCGTCAAGCTCTTGGGTTAATAAAAAAAAAAAAAATTTTTTTGAAATTCAAATAGGAGAAAATTATTTTTTATTTGGAGGGGAGGACCAAAAAAATAAAAGTGCTATCTCATAGGATTTTTATAAAATTGTACATATTTATTTATTGTTGAACAAAATTAACAAAAATAGAATTGATTGGAGGTAAAAAAATTCATTATTATTATTATTAATTATTGTTTAATCAATTATTATTTTACTATTATTAATAACTATTTATTTTATTAATATTATTTTCATTATTATTATTATTGTTCTTTTTTTTTTTTAAATAAAAAAAGAATATTCAATCGTTTCAATGATTCTTTGTACAACTTAATTGTGTACTCTATTAACTTATAATAAATTTTATTAACTTTGTTACACGCATTTATATTTTATTTTAGAATTAACTATTTTTACCAACAAAATATTTTATTTTGTTATATTTCACCCTTTTTGAGAATGAATGAGAGAATCTCGTACAACATTACATTGCAGAGCATTACTTAATTAAAAGTAAGAGAGAACAGCAACCGGATTAAACCGGATTTAAGAACAACTATTTTAGATAAATTTATTTTATTGCTTTCTCTTTTTCTCTCTTCATTAGAAAATCCATTTTTAAAGGTATTGCGGCTTTTCGTATATACACCAAAGATTTATTAGTGTCTTTAAAAAAATATTTATTCATCTTGAGTCAGCCAGCATAAGGTTTTCACCCTGGCTATTCAGGGTATCCTTTCGAGTTAACCGATTCTGTTGACGGCCCTTTGAGTGGAATAAATAATCAGGTAGGGGAAGGAAGGAACCTTTTGAGCTCAAGCACTTTACATGCTGTTTACCAAGTCATAAACAAGTCACATCGCTTTGCAGTTATTGTCAAAACAAATTCCATTTACATTATTTATTGGAGTTTTTGTTTTTGTGATTATTGTTTCTTTTTTTGAGGCTTGTGTACTTTTTTATTTATTTTCACTTGATCTTGGTAAAAAATTGTATCATTCATACATTTTCCCATCTTTGAATTATTTATTGTTTATTAATTAATTGGAATAACAAAACAAAAACAAATCCTTAATAATATATGGTCACGAGATAAATATCCTTCTTATTGATAATAAAAATTTTATGTATATTAAGCTTCCGAATTCCGTGTTAAGTCCACAAAGCAAGCACCGGAAAAAAGAAAAAGAAAATGAAAATGAACATTCTTTTTAGATTTATGAAACACACAATTCTTAAAAGTATAATTAAAAAAATAATTAAAGAGGATAGAATCAAGGACAATCGTCACATGACTAATAAGGCTGTTGTTGGTATTAGTATTAGTTTATTAAATATTAAAATTGAACATATTGAACATTGGATTATGTAAAATAATAAATAAATAAACAAAATAATATAATAAGTAAATAAATATAAATAAATAAATAAATATTATGACTAAAGAAAGTTTAACAATAATAATAATAAAATCACAATTAATTCCAAATTCCACTACCACTACACTCCAACTTCTGGCTCGTCTCTTTGCGATGACATTCCACATTTTCTACAATTTTTATTCCTTCATTTTCCAATTTTTCTAGAATCGGTAAATAAGTAGATTTCGTAGTTGGTGACAAGATTCCTGTTTCCTTAATTTCACCTATTATTGATTTTTTGATTCATTAATTTAATTTGGAATATTGATTTACCGATTGATCGTTTAATTACTAATCTAATACATTGTTATCCTGATTAATAATTACTGACCTCTTGCAACCATTTCTGCGGCAATCGCACTCGGCAATCCTACAGTTTTTGCCATTGCCGTGTAAGTATCTAATGATCCATAAGATACCAACGACGATGTCTTAATTTGCTATTATTTAATTATTATTAAATATTTAGGGCGAACAAGCGATTAATATATGTATACATACACACATGTTTCCTTAAATAAATTCACACAACCCCTAATTATGAATGTGCTCCTAAATGAATACACTACCCCTAATTATACCTACATCTTGTCCATTTTTTAATTTGATCCCAAATTCATGATGCAAAACTAACAAATCTCTTTCGTGCGAACTATATTTTAACTTTTGTTGTAATAACGTACAAAATAAATCAATTGGTGCTATTGATGAAGATGATATAATATCCTTTGGTTTCAGCAAGTTATTATTATTATTATTGGTGGATGTTGTTGACATCAATGATAACCTGGAAAGTGATTATAATAAGCGGATAAGTGAAATAATAATAATAATATAATAATAATAATAACAATAATAATAATAATAATAAATTTTAATTTTTTAATTTACCATTTTAATGAATCAACAACCTGATCGATCATATAATGGTCTTTAGCTAAATTCAATTTTTCTGAAATAGCTGTTATCCTATCAGATTCGGTTATCATTGTCATCATATTACCATTACCATTTAATTTATTAAATAATAAATTATCAAAAAAATCAGACTTTAAAAAAAATAATAATATTATTATTAAATAATATATATATGTGTGTGTGTGCATAAATATATTTGCAAAAAGAATTTTTAATATTCACCCAATTACAAAGATTCGAATTTTTAAATGGTTTAGTATCCAATAATCCAAGTTTATAGAATGAATACATTAAATCTGAATACCCCTATGATTAATTAATTAATTGTGATTAATTTCTTTAAATAATAATTAATTAACACACTAAATCACATTCGTTCATTCACTCATTCATTCGCTCATTCGTTCATACCTTATATCTTAAGGTACCTCTGAACATTGCTTTTTTTGTTTCTAAAGGCGATAAACCATATGTGTCAATGTATGACAATGAATTCCTATTTGCTAAACCTTCAAATGCAAATCCTGGATATGTTAATACTGATGGAAAATGCGATTTGAGCAAATCTCCTCCAGGAATTTCTTGGTACTATAAATCATACAAGTCATGTAGAAAAAGTAAGTTATATATTCATTAATAACACTTTCCCCCAACATTCTTCTAAAAGCATAATATTTACCCTTCCATTCATCCAAAATTTTGCATCATTTAAAGCTGCAGTGAGCACACCTTTGGGCGACCAACTAAACTTATAACCCAATGGAACATTTGATGCTTCTGGAGCTGGCAATCCACCACACCATGAAATAAATGATGTTATTTCTCCTCCCTCATCTCTCACTTCATCGATTACTTTCATTGCCGATAAATGATCAATCCCAGGATCTACTCCTATCTCATTTAATATAGTTATATTCGCTTGCTTGGCACTACACGACACAATATTTTTTTTTGTAAATATAATTATATTTATAAATGATTAAAATCCATATGTTAAATTTACCGTTCATCCAAGGCCTTCATCTCTGGTGATATATAACTGGCAGTTATCATATGCTTTCCATGCAAGATGCATTGCTCTGCAACAATTGGATGTAAAGGTGCTGGTATAAAACTAAATGTAATTTTTTTCATGAGCGTGTATGAATATGAAAATATTTAATAGATATATAAATACAAATGTATAGATTTTTGTATGTTACCTGACAACAACATCAGACCTTTCCACCAATCCACTCAAGTCTTGTTTATTATTTACATCAAGGTTAACAATTTGAATATTTGGATTTCCATGTGTCAAAGCAATTGCTTCTTCCTTAGCATTACTTGCTACAAATATTTGTAATTAATTAATTAATATTATATTAAAATCTCCCATCCTAATGATTATCACAAGAATCATAGTATAAATCCAAAACATACCAATAACTAGGTCTAAATCATTTTTGGCGCTTAAATAATCAACAAATGGTTTAGCAACAAATCCACTTCCTAGTAACAAAATCTTTTTCTTAATATGATTATTTATTGTCACTTTTTTAGCACCAGTTTCAGTGCTTGCTGTGGCAGTAGCGGTAGAAGTAGAATTTATTGTTGATTTTGGTAATAAGTTATATAAATTTTTATGCCGATCCATTAATTTCCCATCTTTTGCTATAGTCGCACTTGATAAAACAGGATTATTTTCTATATTGTTATTAATCTGTTATTATTAAAATAAATTTTTGTGGATCAATATGATATTTTTCTTCCGATGTAATAATTTATAACAACAACAACAACAATAATAATAATAACCAAATCTTTCATGAATGGATATAAAGATTTACTAAAATGTTTACTGCTCTCGAGTGGTATTTCTGTTGGTAAAATATCCACCGCCATTATTTGTGTCCCTTGACCATCATCACTAGTAATCAACCCAACAAAATTCTAGTAGGTCCACATTAACTTTTTTTTAAAAAAAAAGAATTCACAAATACAAACCTTTTGTGTTCTTTATTATTGACAGCATCAACATAATAAAATGGGTCATCGATTTTAGTGGAGTGTGAAAGAAACTCCAAAGCTCCCTACAAATCAAGAAAAAAATACAACTAAATACAATTTATGAATGCACATGTAAATATGTAAATATATAATTACATTTATATCGCAACTAATGTCTGAAATACATAATAATCTATTTTTAATGGTTGGATTTGATTGAATTTCCCGCAGTTGTTTGGTAGTAATTAATCTTGGAAATTTGGTATCCCAATAAGATCCATGTATAAGCATAGATGTGTATGGTGCAATCTAATCACAAGCAATAATATTAATCTTAGCAAATACTTATTTACTGATGAATTTTTACTTTGAAGAATAATTTTTGGCAGTTAGTAATTACCTTTGAATGAAATTCTGATAAATATTTGTCTGGATTGGAATAATAATCTGATTTTGATACAAATTTTCCTGTATCCTTACGAATCAAATAATCTTCTAATTTAACTTGGCATCCATATATTTTCTTGTTACTAAATTTATCTAAAATCATAAATTGAAAATTATAAATACATGATAGATGATGAATCAATTGATTGTTTATTAGTAAATGAATTAATTTAATAGAAAACATACGTTTATCAGAAACACATTCTTTCAAATCCTTTGGATTAATATTTTCATGTGGTAAATTTTGGAAAATATGTTGTGCTCCCTGCAAGAATGATTTTTTTTAAAAAAACTTTTAATGAAGAAATTCTTTTGTTTCACATACATTACTTAAATTGTCTCACTTTTTTTTACCTTGGAAACGTTCCCATTGCCAGTAAATACAAAAGTCATTGGATTAAAATCATCGGGTAATCCATCTTTGACAATTGAATCGCCTAATTCTTTAACTGTGGCTATTGCATTATCTAATGATTTATATGAATGTGACATTGCTATATGCTAAAATATTATTTTTAATAGTAATAAAATAATTTTGGTTCAACAAATATTAATCATAGTAATAATAATCAACCTTCTTTATGTTGCGGTTATTACCATGAATGGTGTATTATATCCTAACCCTAAGAGCCGTAACCCTAACCCGTGTAATCCATCAATCATTCCCGAGTATCCTGCATGAGTCCCAAATAAAACTAATCTTTTATTCTTATCATCAGTCATCAATTCATAATCAATTAATTGTATTTCCTAAGAATAATCATAAAGATCGTAAAGGAAAATATGAATTAATAAATGTTCATTTATTTACAATTACAATCGCAATTAATTAAACCAATACCTTGTCAAGGATATCTTTTAGCATTCCCATGTTGTACAATTGTCCTTTATGAGTATGAGAGAAAAATACATATGTTTTATTTGGTATTAAGCTCTTGATCTCTACTTCTTTAATTCCCATGATTATATCCGCATTGGATATGTCTTCTTGAACCATTGCTCCTGCCTACAATACACATTTATCTATATAAATGATATATACATTATAAATGTATTTATCATAATCATTATAGTAAATAATAACCTTGAGATAACTATCATTGTTAAAGACTCGTTTATTGCATGGTTGCACATAAATCTTGACTCCCGTTTCTTTGATTAAATTGGATACTGCGTCAGGTGTTAAAGCAACTCTACGTTCCCATCGACTTTTATCTTCTCTCCGTAGTGCGATCGATTTTAAATTGCGGGTGTTTCTTAATATTATTGAAGATGGTTTTGTTCTTGTTGATAACGAATTTTTAAATCTTGCTAGCAGTAAAGAAGTTGATCGATTATAATTATTATTATAATATAAACCAAGCATTTTTATCTATGGAATTTTAAAATGAAGAATTCTTTTCAATTTATTCATATTTATCCCATTTATATCCCATTTATATATTTCATATATTATTTTTAATTTAATTTAATTTTTAATATGAATGAATTGTATGACCTTTAAACAATTGTAGATCAATTTAACTTTGTAATAACTGGTGCGTGGGAAAATTTAGCGCGTGACTTTCAATACTTACAATTATTATTATTGTTTTTAACAGTTAAAAATCCAAAAAGGACGGCAAGTTGCTGAATTAAATATTTAAAATTTCTCACTCCTGCATCATTATTATTATCAACAATGGTTATTTATTTATCAATAAAAACAATAAGAATTGCGACGGACCAACCCAGTGTGTAAATTTTATCGTGTGACTAGTACAAATTTAGAAACTATCACCTGTAATTTCAAAATTTGATTGGTTAATGATGTTCGATTTTACACTGGACAACCAACCGCCAGTGTATGGTTCAAAGAAAGAGAGTAAGTAATCATATTTCTTTCTTTCTTTGAAAAGATTTTCAATTTACATATTAATATAATATTCTAATTTTGAGGCCTAATAAAATTAAAAAACGTAAACCCGACGGAAATGAAGCTTAGGTCTCTAGCTTTAATTTTTAGCTTTTAAAGTCATGTGATAATCATTGACCGTTACTACGTACATATGTAAACTCGATAAGTCGACCAAAATTTTCATCCTTTTTCTTAATATTTAAGTAATTTTAATTCGATAAGTTGGTTCATATGAGCTCATCCCATATGAGCGACTTATCGAGTTTACATATTAATATTAATATTAATATGTATACACAGTGAATCCCGATTTAGCGGTCCTCGATTTAGCGGATACTAATACCACTTAAAAATCTCGGTTTTACGGATAAAGTTCAAGAACGGTTTCATAATAAACCTTAATAAAAACCTTCTCGATATAACGGATATTAATATCTCAGTTTAACGGATTTTTGGAAAATTTTCCCTAATTATAATTGCCCAAACTATCCGTTAAAATCGAGATTCACTGTGTATGATGAAATGCGCCTATAAATCTGCATATATTTTCCAAATTTGGTTAGTGCGCGTCATGGGTACCGGAGTTTCTTGTTACGGCGAAGAAATTATATACGTATTTTTGAAATGTAATTAGTCCGAAAAAAATTTTATTCCCATATTTGAATATATTATAGTATATCATTTCTAGTTTATCGGTACAGAGAGATATTTGAGGAGAACAAATGCCAATGGTGAGAAAATCATCATCATATTTTAAAAGCCATCTTCGTAATATAACTTGTCCATGAAAAAAAGAGTTGTTATTCTCATTTTTAATGTCGATGTAAAATTAAAAAATCCACTAATATTGATTTACCATAATTAGTTTTGATCTTTCAGAATGTTCCATGTCCCAATGCGGGCAACTTTATATACGAGTTGAAATCAAAAACCATTATGTTTTACTATATTTGAAGAACAATTAGTTAGATCCAAAGGATCCTCATTTTGAATGAATTCAATGAACATTTAAGCAGATTTGCCAATTTCAAAACTGTCACCTTAGTATATTAAAAATAATAATAATAATAAATAAATCGCGAAACACGACACGTCACACCATTTTCCTCTTTGCATTGGGTGGGTAACTTTTCAGCTTCAACAATTTATTTAATCAATACGAAGCAGAATGCGCTTCAAAAAAAACACCAACATTGTATTTTATTATTATTATTACTGTATTAATGATGATGCGTAATTCTTAGATATGTAATTTTTTGTCACCATTTTTCACGAGTATATGATATTTCTTGAATTTTCTAGAAATTTTATATTGGCTAATTATAAATGCCATGATTATGAACAAATATATTTTTTTCAGTAACCCAATTCCTTAAAAAAAATGTAGGTTTCCCATCCAATATTAACATATTCACATCATTTTGAATGATATCAAATATTCACATACCTAATGTAAAAGATTTGTTGTTTAAAGGTTGTATTTAAAAATAAATAATATATCCTTTTCCATATGTAAATTTAATTTTACATTGTGGCAAACCTTAATGTTATTAAATATGTACATAAAGTGTATCTGTTATTTATACAGTATATAATTTTCTATATATATTCTTAATAGTTTTTCTTTGAGGATTCCGTCACCTTTAAAGTAATAAAAAAAATTGAACCGGGATTAATATTACTTCTTTATCTGCTTATCTATGTTCTATATTTCAATTGTTCATAATTCAGTTTTGTTTTTATTTGAAGATTCTCTGTCATATTTGAAGTAGTAAAAAAAATTGAATTAAGATTGTTTTTCTTATAGTTATATATATTACTTCACTATTATAATTGTTTTAATAGAATTTTCTTATTTATTTGCAAACAGAAGTAAAATGAATGTAATTGTTATAATATATAATACCTAATTTTTTAATAATTAACAATTAACCATGTCAATTGTTCTCACCCTCTTCCTTTTCCCCTTTCCCACTTCTTACAAACGTTACACTTCCTTCCCACAAACTTCACACACTCTTTCAAAAACTCAAATTTTGGTTGGACGAATCCACTAACAACTTCACAACTAAAGGCTGGTCATATAGACATTTACACAATTGACCCTTGACTACTCAAGAGGCAACAACAACAACAATAAAAAAAATTTTTAAAACTATGCTGGGTTGGACACATCTACCCACACGCCACCAAACCTCCAAAAGTTTGCTACTGAGTATTTAACAGGCACGCCTATTAATACTCAATAAAATAATAAACAACAAAGTATTGCGCTGAGTGCCCTTTATGCTAGCACATGTGATAGAAAATAAAATAAAAACCTTAAAATGTCGAGTTCTTCTTCTATGTAATTTTTCATATAAATTTCTTCATTCGTTTTTTCTTTTTTTCTTTCAATACTGATCTTAATATATATTAAAAAAAAACCTCCGATTAACAATGTCATTTTGAGCTCAATCAAGACCAACTTGAAAATTATAAAGCTTTCAACAATAATAACTTGATTTTTTTGCATCAGCTGTTCAAAACTCTTGTGAGTAAAGGTTTTTATGTAATGCTTTCTTTTTACTATGAAATGGACGCATTTTTTAATTCCTGAGGAAGAGATGACTGTTTTGGAATTGCTATATTTTTTTCTGAAACTATAATATAACTTTAAGAGCAATGTTTTCTCATTTGATATCATATTATAAAAAAAGTGAATTGAACATCAAAGAAATTATGGAGGAACCAAAGAGGATTGCAAATCTCTAAAATATAGGGACGTTTTTCACTACCGAAAAAATATAATTTACTTTTTTTTTTTATACTTCCAATTTTAGTGCGCTGAATTTTTTTCTCCAATACAATTGACGCTCAATATAGTGAACTTATTATTGCTTTTTTATCTATATCACGCAGTATTGTGAAGAAGCAGATGTAAATAAATATTGAATTGTGCCATATAAGGACATGCATATGAGGACAACAATAATTTAGTCAATTAGTAAAAATTAGTAAATTCACTTCGAAGATCTTTTTTACTATGTACACACAGACTCGATAAGTCAGCTCGCAGTAATCAATTGTTTAAAGTACTAGTACTCAATAATATAAATTATGCGGCTGACTTATCGAGTCTGTGCGTGTAACGGTAAATTTTTTTCAAGTTCATGGTTATACTCAATGCGCAAAAACTAAATTCCCTTTTTTAAATGTGATGATTAAAAAAAAAATTATTTTAAAAAAAAGTCCATGATATGAAATGGGTAAATTTAACTAATAGTGTTAAAAAAATTATTACTAATATTAACAGGGTAAAGTTGTTATATAAGCATTGGATAAACTTAATGAAAATTGATTTGGGGCCTCAATTAGAAGTTTCCGGAGGGTGTCGCGTAATGTTGACCAATAAGTTGTTTTTTTTTTTTGAGAGAGAAGAAATTACATGTATTTTTGAAATGTAGTTAGTCTACGAAAAAGAGATATATTATTCCACATTTGAATATAGTATAGTATGTTATCCTCGGCACAGAGATTTTGAGGAGAACAAATGCCAATGGTGAAAAAATCAAGCTCAAAAATATCATATTCCGAAAAATACACACCTTCGCAATGTAACCTGTCTACGATATTATTCACATTTTGAATATATTGTAGAATAACATAAATCCCTGATGTAAAATTAAAATATTGATTACCATAATTAGTTTTGACTTTCAGAATGTCCACGCCCTAATGACAGACGACTTTATATACAAAGTTGTAAAATTATGAAATTAAAAACATAATGTTTTACTCCAAAGAATAATTAATATGTCTAGGGGATCCTCATTTTGAATAAATCCAATCAATATTTTTCTATTATTCTTGAGTTTATATTTAAACAGATTTGTCAATTTCAAAACTGTCACCCTTAGTATATTAAAAATAATAATAATAAAATAAATAAAACATGAAATAACATGTTCGTTCATATTGGACATCAAAATTCACAAATCAATCATAGTTAAAGTTTTCATTCGGAAGCTTTATTTATATATATATATATATATATATGCATAATTTTAAATATTATAACTTCTTGATTTTAACCTCATAGGATTTTGTTTTCTTCAAATATTGAAAATGATATGGGAATGTTAATGATTTAGGGTTGTAAACATCCAACATAGTTGGATATGAATTCTTTATTGTCAATATAAAATGGTATACACAAAGTCATAATATATAGTTCCCTTCGTTATCTCAACCATTTTTCTCTTTGTATTGGATGGGTAATTAAAAACTTTTCGGCTTCAACAATTTAGTCAATACGAAGCAGAATGGTTTTCAAACTTATTATAATAAATGCTACAATTGTGAATACATATTTTTTTTTTCAGTAACATTCCTTTACCTAAATTCCCCAAAAATGTAGAAACAGGAGAGTATTTATATTTATTTAATATTTAATTATATATTTTACCAACTATTTATTTTGTCAACTATCTTTTGTAAAGCTAATGATAAATTATCTTTTCTATTCATTTTTAGCTGATAATAAAGTTTCTCTTCTGAATCATGCTCAACTTCATTTAAATTATCACCTGTTAATTTATTTGTGCCTATATTTAATTGTTTTAAAAACTCTAACATTTTTCATATACCTTCTTTATAATATTCTAGACAATGTTTGCACTTTCCTTCCATTTCATTATAACTAGTGTTCCGAACGGGTCGGGTCGGGTTGAATGGACAACCTGACCCGACCCGAATTTTTTAATTATTGACCCGACCCGAACGAGTCAACACGGGTCGGGTCGGGTACCCGGGTCAGATATAAAAAATTTCTTAAGTATCAATTAATATATGTAATTTATTTTGCTCATTTGAATTTAAAAAAAAAATACAATGTGTAAAATAAGTGGATTTTTAAAAAAGAAAAAAAATCAAAAATTTGATTTACTTAGTAATATTATTATCTCTAATCCAATTTTTCAGGCACATGCATGCTTGAATTATTTCTTTCTCCAAACAACAACTTTTTTTTGTGATTAGGTCACCACCACCTGAAAAGATTCTTTCAACAGATACACTTCTACCTTACATTAAATAATATACATATACTTATTTATTTTTACAAATTAAATAAAAGATATTAAAAAAAGATATCTTACCTGGAATTGCAAGATAGTCATGTGCCATCTTGGAAAGATTTGGAAAGGTGGCTTCATGAACCTATCATATTTAATGAAAATAATAATTAATGTTGAAAAATAAATATATCAGATATTAATTAATTTGTTACCTTCCACCATTGTAGTGGATCTGTTTGAGGATTTACTGGAGATACTCCTCTAATTCATCTTCTTTTTGATTATTATTATAATTGATACCAAGTGAAAATGTAAAAAAAATATTTTCATTATTATTTGTAGTGGCAGTAACATTAGTGGCAGTAGCAGCAGCAGCATTATAATAACATTCATTGTATTTATCAGCTAGTGTTTTTTGGCCATATCAATATTAATATTAATAAAATAATTAATAATAAGACAAGGATTACGTATTGCATATGGCACATGATATGGCATAAAACAAGGGTCATGTCATTCGGCATATTGGGCCCATGTCAACCCGTGTGACCCGTGTGACCCGTATGACCCGCGGGTCAAATCAAATTCATGACCCGACCCGAAATATGGTCAACCCGACCCGACACGAACGGGTCATAACCCGCGGGTCACTCGGGTTGACCCGACCCGTTCGGAACTCTACTATAAACTATCTTTTCCATCTTGGAAATAGCTTCATCTTTGAATTCAATAAATTTTTTCTCAACTATCTCATCATCATCATTTTCATCCCTCAGATAATCATATATAATTTTATCAAATAATGTCATATATTCAAGTGATTTTGTACTCATATATTTGCTCTCATCTTCCAAACTCAACCTATCAAATAACAATTTTAGTTCTTCATCATTTAAAAAGGCTATGTACTTCACTTAATATTTCTTTATCTTTCAGATCAATTACATAGTAATTTGATCCTACTCCATGGGTACTCCATATTTTTTTGAGTTTATTGTAATACTCTGGAAATTTAACCTCCTTAAAGATATTTGAGGTTAAAGACTGGTGCTGTAAATTATGATGATGGTAGTAATTGTATTTATGGCATATAAAAAGTGGTTGCAATTACCTTTGCGACCACTTTTGCAACCATACTTTTTCCTTTTTTGAATTACGGCACTAGTGTTTATTTGAGGTTTCAACAATGAACTCAATGTGTCTCCTTGAGCAATACCTTCTTCAACTGGCCCTTCATTTTCACTGATTTTGATCTGTTGCAACCAAAAAAAAAAAAAAATTTTTTTTAGAAAAGATAAAATAATTTTTTTGCAGACTAATAACTAAGTTATCTCTTACCTTTTTTATGATGAAGTTAGTGGTAATTCTTCCTCAAAAAGTTGCTTTTGTCCAGTCTTTAATTCATCAGGTTCCAACCTTTCATCAGATAAGAATTCTTCAAATTTGTTTGTAATTGTTTTTTGCAATAAAGATCTCTCCTTGTTGCACCTAAAATATATTGGGTCTATAATGAATAGATATTTTAGTATGTTAATATAAAGATTGGTAATAATATGTCAAATAAATATACAACCTGTTCAATATTAATCTGATTCTTCAATTTATTCTTCCATTTTTTTTTGTGGACATTAGTAAATGTTGTTAAAACAGAAAGCCACTGAATTCTTGAAATGCATAAAGATAACTCACTTGACATAACTGGGCTTCCTCTTCAAATAGCCTTTTCTCTATGTTAATGTTTCGTCTCTTGGACTGCATATTCCAAAAAAGAATTATTTCACTCAAGCTTTTATCCTCCTAATATATGGAAAAGTGATAATTAATTTAAAGAAAACATATGACACACATAATCAGCCTGAAACAACAGACAAACACGCAGTATTTCCCACTGCCAACATGCAGTCAACAAGGTAGTCCGTTAAAACACGCACTTCATATTAATACACCAACAAACATGCAGTCTTTCCCACTGCCAACACGCAGTCAACAGGTAGTTGGTGACAGAATAGAACAACTCAGGTTGTAGAATCAAATAAATCGTGTGTAAGTCAACTTCTCTTAACTCTTTGCCCTGATTTCGGACGTTTCGTCATAGTACTCGTCAATGGTTTCAATTCATTTTTGTATTGATTGTGCTCCGTTGCTTCGTTTTTCTAAACAGCCCTCCTCTAGCCGGAAATCTAAAAACTTCTTGAGTGTAGGTTTTTCTACGCTTTTCCAAAGTCTATATACGTGTTTACAAACAGTAAGTTACATTATAAAGCGTTAAGAGATCTGATTATAATTTACCTACCGGGATATCTTAACGCGTTTAAACACTTGGGAATCAGCTTCATTTTATGAAATTAATTAACCATCAATCACAGGGATAGTTTTTTATTGTAAAATTTTGATTGGTCAAAAATTGCTACACGAAAAATTTTGTAGACTTTATTAATCAATATTACAGTATTTATTTTTAAAATTATATTAAAATAGGTCGCCAAAAAGCTGCTACTTTTTTTTCGAAAATAGTTTGGACCGAAAACCTTATATATCGTTGAGAAAGTATCCTTGTATTTTTAGCTTGAAGCAGCAAGGAATTGGCTGATAATATGATAAGAAGAGTGAAAGCGTGTTATGGAAATCCAATAAGATATCAATTAACCTTTGCTAACATTTCAATTAATTTTTATAAAGAGAAATTTAAAATTTTTTACAAAAGTTGACTTGGCAACAAAACTCTGTCGAGTAGTGATTTGTACCATATTCAGCAAAATGTAGAAGTTCAAGCATTTGTGACCCAAATTTTAATCAAAAGTGAGTTTACTTATACCAATTTGATGGAAATCATTTCCAATAAATTTAACAATGATAATTATGGCAAGTATAAGGTGCTTCCCGACCAAATAATGAAAGTGATCGACAACCACAGAAGTGGAAAGAATCAAAGCGTGATTGGCTTATTATAGAAAATATTTAATATTAGTGATTTGTATAGTGTTTTTTAAGCATTACAACAGTAATCTATCTACCGTATAGTTTTCGGGATCCTAGAGTGGATTTAGAATTGGACGGGCAGGAAACACTAGAGATATAGCATCAAAGAATTTCAACTATTATTTTTTATATTATTATTTTTAGGCAAAAATTGAGCCTTTGTCAAATAAAAATAAAAAAAAACCATTGATTTACTTTTTTACTTATTTCAAGATTTACTACTTTCGTCAAGTGTTTTATTTTAGTCAAATTATCAAAATGACCCTCTGTGAGAAACCATCTTTAGTCAATGTTGTAGTCGTGTCAACGACTAAAGTCAAAAGTTTCATCATGTATCATTAATATGTAAATTGTTATTTTGAAATCTGGAAATTCATTTCACTTTGATGTATTCAAAAATACCATTCAAAGAAGTAGGTGTTTTTCAAGTTATGACCACAAGCATTAAATATAATTTCAACCAGATCTTATAAACCGAAGGCAGGTCTACGCAAACTTATTTATCATCAGATTTGCTTGTTCTTATTAAAGAAGATGTAAATAACGAGAACTTACTTTACTCTATTTTGCATATGCTACTCATATTTTATTTCCAATAGATAAAATGATGTTGCATGTCAGTTCTAGTTGGGATGATTGATGTTATAGCAACATTCACTAACATCAAATCAAACAAAATAACCACCAGAAGGAATAAAATTTTCGCAATATGTAATTAGCTCTGCTTTTCTGATATCGGGTAACTAACACTATTAAAAAATCAAATTTAAACATACGGTAAGCATTTGTTAAGGTGTGCAGCTTTAGTTACAAAGGACCAACTTTTGATAAAGCCATAAGTCTTAACGAATGTTTAACTATTGTTAAATTTATTTTTTTACCAGCGCAAATAACCTTAGAACTCCCAGCTAAATGTGATTCATTATTACTTTGCGAGTTTATGATTTCAGAAAAACATTGTTCAAGTGTTTTTATCAAATACGGCTCACAAGCCATCATTAAAAATGAAGATTCCTTTTCTTTTTTTCTTTTTTTTTTTTTTGATAAACAAAATCACAATTGTAGATGATATGATATTTGTAACCATTATGTGCAATGGATTCACATTAATTATCACGATTATTCTTTGGGTTTCTCCATCTTGGACTTAAACATAATATTTTTATTCTCATAAGATAACTCATTAAATTATATAATACAATGTTTTGTATTTCATTTGCATTAGATTTTCAACTTTTTTTAAAATCAAAAAATTTATATGTAATTGAAACGCAAATCATCTACACTCAAAAGTTGAAAAACTTGAAATATGACATCAGAATTTAGTATTAAAAAAGAAATTAGAATTGATTGATTCATTTCATTTTTATTTTTCCCGTAGATCATTCTTAATTTAAT